CGTGCCTTGGCGGGTCGAAAAGTGGAAGCAAGCCCACAAATTCCCATGGCTCACCCACGCTCTCCTTTGTCCTCTCGTTTACGGTCTGCAATAAAAAATCATTCGTTTTAGAGATATAACTCGAAAGGAGAAAAAAGAAAAAACGAAAAATCATATTTTTTTTTTGTTTGTTTTTTTCAGTTGAATTAGCTTTTGTTGTTGTTGGTGTAACCTGTCTTGCAATGCCGAGGGAACGAAGGCCACGGTTGGCGAAGTTGTCGATTACTGCGTGGGCTTTCTTCAAGTCTTCACCTTTGAGGAGGCAAAGTTCGATGATCTGTCACAAGAATTACAAAACGGTTAAAAGGCTATTTGTGATCACGTTTTTAGAAGTGTCTGTTTGTTTGTTTGTTTGTTTGTTTGTTTGTTTGTTTTTCTGTGTTCACCTGCTCGGGAGCACCCTTGCTGCACCTATGCCAGTTCCCATCATTGTCGATGTAGGTGATTGCCGTGCGCTTGTCTACCGGGTTGAATGGTAGGAAATGCACCTCTTTTATTCCGGCTCTAGCCTAAAATCACACACACAAAAAGAAAAATAATGCATGGGTTGGATACACTCACACAACACAACACGTAGACACTAACGTAATTAATTTGTTAGATTAACAAAATATTTATGCATCTAAATGTAACTCCAATTTCTTGATCCATTTGGAAGGTTTCTTTGTCAAGCAGGTATTGAATTCAACATGCATGTGTACCTCAAATTTTATTTTCTTCTTCTTCTTCTTTTTGTTTTTAATAATAAAAATTGTTTTACCTCCCGTGGATCGCCGAGCATGTTGACGATGGAAGCATCGATGGCATCTTGGTTCTCGACCCGAGAAGCTCTGGCGGCAATTAGGACAACATTATCCTTGTCAACGTTCTTCGGGAAAACTTCGATCAAGCTCTTGTCGACCGTTAGCTTGTTGAGCGTAAGAGTTCCAGTTTTGTCGCTGCAAAGCACGTCCATGCCGGCCATCTCTTCAATGGCAGTCATCCGCTTTGTGATGGCGCCTTGTTGGGAGAGCCTGTGGGACCCGATGGCCATGGTCACGGAAAGAACCGTGGGCATGGCAATCGGGATACCACCAATAAGCAAGACGAGCAAGTTGTCGATCCCTTGCCTGTAGTTCCTCTTCTGAATCGGGTACATTACCAAGATCTCGATAAGCATGCCGAGCGCAATCGAGCATATGCAGAAGTTACCAATCGCGGTCAACACCTGTTCAAATCAGTCCCTTAGTTTTATAGCCAAGTAGCATATGCAAAAGAGATCAAATATGCCACTTTTTGTAGAAGTATGAATAACTATCACTTTGTCTTGTTGTTGTGAAATGACACAATTACTCTTACTTCTAAAAATTGGATTTTCAGGAACAAGTGAACAACCCCTTGGTTTTATTGCCAAGTAGCAAATACAAAATGAAATATAGCCACTTTTGGTGGAAGTATGAATTGGTATAGCCATTTTGCATGACAAAATTTCCATTACTACCAAAAACTAGAGATTTTCAGAAACAATTTTTGTAGGCTCGACAAGCTTCGACTCTGGCATACCTTTTGGAAGTGGCCGATATTGTTGGTGCTGTCGACAAGATGGGCAGCTTTTCCGAAAAAGGTGTGGACTCCGGTGGCAATAACAACAGCCTCAATCTCACCTTGCTTGCAGGTGGAGCCTGAGTAGACGCCTTGGCCCGGGTGCTTGGTGACGGGTAGTGACTCGCCCGTTAGGGCCGACTGGTCGATCTTCAGGGGATCGCCCTCGAGGAGACGAGCATCGGCCGGGATGATGTCACCGAGCTTCACACTGATCAAGTCTCCCGGGACTAGGATCGAGGCCTCCTGTTCGCTCCACTTGCCGTCCCTCAAAACCTGCGATTATTATAATTTTCTTTTTGTTTTCTTTCTTTGATATATTCCCTAAACACGAAAAAAAAAAAAGAGTAGATGCTCGAAAAAACGGGACCTTGGTCTTGGGGGCAAGGCCGGCCATGAGGGCAGCCGCGGCATTTCCAGCGTTGTTTTCCTCGATGAAGCTGATAGTCGAGTTGATGATGAGCAACACGACTATGCCGACAAAGTCTTGCCAGTCGGGAGGCTTGCCCTGCAAATTTTATTTATTTTTTTATCGAAAATGTTTAGAACTAATATTAATACTTTTGTTTGAAGGTTTCGTTATAAACGAGCGAACGACTCGACGAGAACTTGATGTTTACCCCGCCGTTGGCCAAGACAATGGCCATGATGGCGGCCGATTCCATAACCCACGAGAGAGGGTTCCACATGAATCCAAGGAACTTGAGAAACTTGCTCTCCTTTTTCTCTTCGAGCTTGTTGGGCCCGAAGATCTCGAGCCTCTTGTTTCCTTCATCGCTCGTTAGCCCTTCCCTCGAACACTTCAACGCCGTGAAAACTTCCTCGATGGGAATGTTCTCCTACGCAACATGCATTTTTGCTTTTAGTCGATAAACCAAACCGTTCCAAAAAAGTCGGCCGACTCAGGATCAAATCAAAAACATATATAATAACACAAGACTAATCATGTTACTAGACATGCAAGCTAACTAATCTTAAAACAAGTAGTTTTCGTCGCATTCTTGTTTTTCTTACGAAAAACACGCGTCGAAACTACATGCGTGTATGGTAAGATACGACGTCCCGCCAAGAATTTACAACGAGGAATAACAGAAAAACAAAAAGGGAGTCGCAAATACTTACGAGATCGACCGTCTCATTCTTGATCTCTTCAAGATCCGAAGCCATTTTTTTTTTCTTTTTCGTTTAAAGAAACACACGATCGCAAGATTTACGTTGCGTATTTCTTGTTTTAATCTTTTTTTTTTTCTGGTCACGCCAGCCAGTTATCTCTCTCTTTCTCTCTATAATACGCCCCCATGCAAGAAGAAGAAGAAGGAGGTAAGTTGCCAAAGAAAACAGAGAAAAACAGGGGAGGGCGTGCACTTTAAGTGGGCTACAATGGGGTTATTTAAGCACCCCCACAAGAACTTTGTTGCTATATATGCCACGCTCGAAATTGAAGGGCAATCACATATATATTTTCTTTATTTTTTCCACCTTTGTTCTTGTAATAATTTGTTTCCTATTTTGTGTTGAATTTTTTGGTGAATTTTTACTGGTCAGTGTGGATTACCCTTCCTTAAAACTTGGGTAGCCAAATGATATATATAATCCCTTTGAAGAGAGTGTAACCATGATGGACATATATATTTCTGGCTACTATAATTGATGGGAAGATGTTACGAGTCCCGTTACAGAACCATTCCGTCGGAGTTTGTAACCGTTAGATCAACAATATCTGACGGTTAAATGATTACAAACCTTGATGAAATGGTTCTGTAACGAGATCTTAGCATTTCCCTGATCGATGATGATAAGAATAGTAATTTCATAATTACATATACTCATTAAGTCCCCATAGGTGGTCCAATATCTTTTGATGAACAATTTCATTCTTATTTAGGCTATTCATAGTGTCCGTTGACACATCGATTGTACTTTTTGAATTTTCAAATATAGAGAATATCACGGTCTCGTTACGGAACCATTACGTCGGAGTTTGTAACCGTTAGATCATAATGTAATTGTCGGGGTTAGTTGATATAATGGTTATAAACCCCGACAGAATGGTTCTGTAACGGGACCGTAACAACTCCCTTCAAATATTAATATAATTATCGGTTGACAAAAAGAAAAGTGTACAAGTTTTCAAAGTTTATTTCCATGAGAATTGTTACTAATTTATAGATATGTTATGGCTCTTTTTGTACTATTTTTTTTTTTAGTTAATTGCTAATTTTTATGATATTTATATCCATAATTCTAATTTAGTCTTAAAATTCATGATTTATATTATAAAATTCAATTTTAAAAAAATGAACTTATTAAGCTTATTTGTACTAATTCAATTTTATACTATTTCATGATTTATACTCATTAAGCTTATTTGTAGTTGTTGATTTTTTTTTATTTTTTATTTTTACAACTTAATGAATGAGTTATGATTATATATTTTTAGCTCAACACTAATTTGTCATACAAAAAAGAGTTCTAAAAGCAATTATTAAAATAAAAAATGTAAGCAAAATTTTTTATGTGTAATTTGTAAATTGAACAATTAATGTAAATATATAAACACATTTAATTGAATGGATTGGTACCCTTGGCAATTCACTACATATTATAATCAATTTTGACTTATCAGATAATTTGTTTCGGTTAACTCAAAGTTCAACTTAACAATTCTCAATGTTATCAATATAATTAAATAAATCAATCAATTATGCTCAAATTCCTATCTTCTGTTTTATTTATATTCAATCTTTTAAATTTGAACCCCCTCCCCCGTCTAGACGTGAGCATCAGTGCAGTTTGGTTAAAAACCGAAATCAAAAAATTTAAAACTTGTACACCGAACAACACCGTAAGAAAAGAACAAACCGAGCCAAACCGTGCGGTGCAATTTTTCTGTTAACCACAATTTAAAAATGTAAACACACAAATCAAAGTTCAAAACCATACAAATTAAACCTTAAACCACAACACAAATCAAAGTTCACTAAATTGTTTTTTTAATCTTTAAACTTTAAAGTTAATTAATAAATGTTAAATCATGTGTGATTTTAAGAGTTTAAGATAATAAAATAGCAACTTTATTTGACACAACAAAGTTTCAGTGCAATTCAGTTAAAACTACACAATTTATACTAAAAACCGAACCATGCCGAATGTTTTGCGGTTTTCTAAAATTCAAACCGCATCTAAAACCAAACTTTCTAAAAACCGAACACCACCGACCAAACTCATCAGTTCGGTTCAGTTTTTCGATTTGGGCGCGGTTTTGCTCACCCCTACCTACATTGCCCTCCCCTCTTAGGAAAAATTATAAGAATCCCCACACCAAGAAAAAGCCTCTCCAAAAACCAAAGGCCGTACCTGATTGATAACAAGGGAAGAAAATGACTCGGGCGTCCAAAAGAAAATCTGATGTTCAAAATTCTGCACCTGCCAAAAGCGCCCGCGCGGATTCTATTCGTTCTGGTATATCTGCGGCTTGGTGTTCTTTTTTTTCTGGGTTCTAATTTATGGGGTTTCTTTGAATCTGGGCTGGGGCTCTCTTGTGTGTAGTGAAGGGGATAATTAGGGTTCTATCACAGTTCGAGTTGATTTTTCTTCAATTAATGTGTCAAATATGCATTGGATTATTGGGAGCAGACCAATTTTGAATCTTGAAACCCTCACTGTTATTTTCAGTTGATTTTATTCTGTAAGTTGGCCCATTGGATTTCACGATAACGAGTTCGCGGATTGTTATGAGTTGTAATGATCGGTAATGCTTCGAAAGAACAACTTGGTTTATGCAGCTATATAATCTTTTGTCGATTTTCTGCACGATCCACCGAGCATTATGATGTAGGCTATCTTAGAAGGGCATTTTATAGTTAGTGCTACCTAGTCATTATTAGTTTTGTTTTTTTCGACTTATTACTTGTTTTATTCAGCATCAAGTAAAGTTTCGGCGAAGGGGTATCAACGTATAGATGAAATTTTCAACAAATATGCCGATAAAACGTCAGGAATGATTGAGTAAGTTTTTTATTGTTTAGCTTCATTCTTACTTTCTCTACTCACTGCATTTGCATCGGAGATGCTCGTCTGAGAAAGTGTTGGGTTCATATGGTTATGTTTCGTCATGAGAACTTCCAATTCCTTCTTTTGTATCGTGAGTGTAGTAGTTTTGTATTGACTTATTATACGAAAAGTGAAATGTGTCTTTCTATGGATCTGTACAAAAGGACATTTAAGTACATGGAGAAGAATAAACATTGTTGTAATTGTTTGGCTTGATTTTCTTTACAATCAAGTGAGAGGAATCTTGGTGAGAGAGGTCAAGATTTCCCTAAATAATAGAACCCGCTAATTCTGTTAATTTTAGTCTAACTTCAAATGATTAGAATGTTCTATGTTCTATTTTACTATTGCACAGGCCAGAAGGGATCGAGGCACTATGTTCGGATCTAGAGGTGGATTACACTGATATCAAGATTTTGATTCTTGCTTGGTAAGTGATAATGTGATCGACAAAAATCTGTCACAAGTTAATATTATCTCAAGAATATATGGTGTAATAATTTCTTATGAACTGAGCCTTTCACAAATTTTACATGTTCTGAAGGAAGATGAACGCCCAAAAGCAGGGATATTTTACTCAGGTAAACTCTGTTTTTATTTGTAACATCTATCAGTTCTTTTATTTTTATCATTAATTAGAAAACCTCCTGTGAGGCTTGTTTTCCCTGTGTATAATTACCATTTCATTTTTTTTAATATTCTTGCTTTTCTACTTCTGCTACATATCTTTGAGTTTTTTCCTTACTGTGAGCTCCAGCAGTTACTTCTGTGAATGCAAAATAATCCTGTGATGATAATATGAAAAGTATTTGTTATGATTGCAAATTTGCACTGAACGACTCGTTTTTTTCTCATCATTTCATCATCAGGATGAGTGGAGGAGAGGCTTGAAAGCTCTTCGAGTCGATAATATTAATAAACTGAAGAAATCACTGCCAGAATTGAAGAAAGAAGTATTTCTATTTCCCATTTTGCAAACTTCATTATTTTATTTTTTAATTATTCTTTTGAATGTGGAATCTCCTCTGTTTTCGATTTGTTGATGGGGGGAAGGCCTTGAAGTCAGTAAACTTTGAAGATTTCTATTTGTTTGCCTTTCGCTACTGTTTAACAGGTATATGCCTGTACATGTATTTAACCTGCATTTTTCTGAGTAAAACATGTGTGCTTCAATTATTTTCTTCTTCACCATTCTTTTGTTATCCCGAGTCTCTCAAATTTGAATATTTAATTCTTTTCAGAGGAAAAACAGAAATGTTTAGATATTGAGAGCACCTGCATATTGATTGATCTGGTATTAGGGTTTCAATATCCAGTACAAGTTGATTCATTCATCCAATTTCTTAAGGTACACGACCAAAAAAACTAAATCAAATCAGTTTATTTTAAGCCGTGTAAACCTCGGATAATTGTGAATATCCCTCTTTCTTGACATTTTTCTAATCGAGGTATCAGATCCAGAGTGACTACAAGGTGATGAACATGGATCAGTGGAAGAATTTTCTACGGTTTTGTGAAGAGGTTTTCTCATTGCTCTTAACTCCCATTTTACTGTCTTTTTTTTGTTTTTTTTGTTTATTTGTATATCATGTTACTATTGGCAGATAAGCTTTCCGGACCTTCGAAATTATGATACATGCGAAGCTTGGCCTTTACTTCTCGATAATTTTGTCGAATGGTTTAAAAAGGAAGCAGTGTAATTTCAGAAGCTCCATCGTTATTGATAAAGGTAAGGATACTTTCTCGAACGGGCATACTTTGCAAAGGAGGAGTATAGTTCACAGTCCATCGGTATTTGTGGATTATCAACAGATCATTATACATCAATTCTTTTCGGTTTTTTTGGGAATAAATGAGAATACAAGTAATGGATTGAGTTGTCTGTGTTTATCGTTTATCCTCTACTTTTCTTTATTATATGTTGAATTCGTAAATGATAGTCTGTAATCTTCGTCGTCTGGGATTTGTTTACCTGACAATTGAGTGGTCAATGATAGAAAACTTGGATAAAGGTGACTCTGTAATTTTGCAGAACTGTGTGCAGTTTGATGACTATATGAGTCGATATGTTGATGAGACTAATCGTTGAATACTTCTTTGTACGAAAATATATACTTGTACTATGAAATGTCATTGTTTTTCAAAAGGGTTAAACATAGGTTTTTCCCAAATACAACTGCATTAAAAAGTCAAAATACAATATTGTTTCGAGCAACTCGGATTGCAAATTTGCAATTAAACATAGGTTTTTTCGAAAATTTTCGTCTAGTACAATTATGTGATATAAAAACAGTAATATAACAAATATTAATAACATCCATTCAATAAGAAATAGTAAATTCCATTAAAAATGCATTGAAAAAATAATTTTTATTTTTAAATGTGCTTATGAGATTGGAAAGAAAAATGTGAAATTGAAAGTAGTGATATGCATATTAGAAATTGCATATTTTTTATTTTTTAAATGCGCTTATGAGACTGAAGAAAAATGTGAAATCGAAAACAATGATATGCACAAACTGACGATAGCTAGATCCAATTGAACAAACTGCACTTACAAATCAATACAACACGAATTACTTGAATTCTTCATCTGAGCGTACCCACAAACTGCATTCTCAATTATCTCAACATACATACTGCATTCCCAATTATCTTTTATAATCTAGAAGACAATCTAACGTGTAATTCCATTAGCTAGAGCATCCTATTTATTGCCAAATTATCGATCATCTAACCCAACTTCCATTTCGTGTTCCAATTTTTCATCAAGTAAGCTTCAAAGGTAACAATCATCAGAAAGCATTTAATGTTGAAGGTCATATGTTATCACTCGTCACTTCAAACAATCATCAAAACGCATATAGTGCTGAAGGTCAAAGGTTATCACTTTTCATCACAACAGCCAACAAGTAAGTTCAGGTAAACCATATAGCCCAACATTGAGGGTGAAGTTTTTCAGAGGTTTTAAATTATAGACCATACAAGACACTGAAATTCATTAAATAGTTTCGTCTTTGGTATTAATTAACTTCACTTCACCTTTGCTTTCTCATTTAGTCCTCAAGTGCTCGTAAATCATACCAACCTAATCTTTGGGTGGTCACGAGAAAATAATTTTCATCTATATTCCTGTGGCAAACGGTAGCCACTCATGACTATTTTGTCGGCAAACATCTTGCCCGTCTTAGGCATGACATGCCAATGCAGTGTTAAGTTAAAGTCTTTGCCCCTTAGATTGCTTCCCTACAACACATAATATACATAGATATAAAATAACGGTTATACAAAAATTGGCTAAAAACTAAAGAGACAAAAGTACATGCGAAGAACAACTCACTTGATCAATAAAACGATACTTGTTAGTTGTGTGAATCCAGAACTTAGCGTGTTCTTTGGAAGGTATAATACCATCCCACAAAGATACCTACGAAGACAAATTAAATAAAGTTAACAAAGATGCAAGTAAGATGTCGGGGGAACATGTCTTTTCAAATTAAACACGTAATAAATTTGTTTACTGCAGCACATCATCGCATGCCATTAAAAAAAAAGGAATATAAAGTTCAGTTACTGTATTACGCATGGGTTTGGCACTTTACTTCTTTAATCTCATATCAAAATTTAGGGGAAAAGAAATCCTAGAACCAAATCCTGTTGTAATACATGGGACTTCGACTTAAGCGAAGAATATATAAGCAAACAAGCAAGAATGAACACTCTTGTATATAAATTTGAGGATCACGTGAAGAATAAAACTGTTCTGCCACCACACTAAGATTATTTCCTAGTGTGTTATTTATGTATTCTTCTGCATTTGCATGAAGAAAGAAAATTAGTTTTGTCCCAGGTTTAAATTCATTAATTGCATGGTTTATTTCACATATGTTACCCAGGAAATACAAGTCTTAATTGAGTTAAACCTTTTATTGCAACATATAAAAGGGTTGCTTATATACCAAATGACTTGATATGAGTTCTAAATTTGTATTCCACACAAATTATCCACTCAGCTGCTATTTTTATATCTATAAACACTATGATGATCTTCTATTCTCAGATTTAATTTTGTTCGGCACTAAACTGAATTTGGCCGAAATTGGAACAGGATAGAGTGGGAACTAGTGGCAGCTGCTCCTAAATCTTTAAGTTGCCTCCTATTTCACTAAAAGATTGAAGTTAATAAATATCACATGATGGATATTACAGGAGATCTAGCTAGCATATGATTTAACTTAATGAAAATCTTCCTGCAGGTTAACCACAGAAAGGAAAAGCTACATAATTATCCTCCACTTGTAAGTTATCAAAGATCATATGATGAGCAGAAACCTAACATTGGCATAATAAAAGGAAGAAG